TAAACTTCTTTAAAAAAAAAAAACATTTTAATATAAAAATTAATATTTTTAGTAAAATTTTCATATAGTTATTTCTACCAAAAAATAACGGTGATGTATTTCCCGAATTTAAGCCTAACAGTAGCCATGTATGCTTAGGGTGCATCCAAATGGTACCCAAATCCTAGACAATATATTTCCATGTATACAAATGCCAACGTAAAGGTCATTCTCATATCATGTATACGAATTTGAAGAATACTAACATTAATCGTTCATAGCATTAGAAGATTATATTTCATACTAGATCAATGGGATTTAATTAATCCATGGACATCTAGGATTGGTTGTGCATGGATCTAGCCGCATGGACCATTGATAGATAGAACAATGGTTTCTAAATTTAACTAAATTGAGATCGCATTTGTATGAGAACGTGTTGCTGTGCTTAGTTGGTGCACGAATCCATGTGTAATGGAATTGGGTTCTTCATACAAGTGGAGTTCTACGATGGGGGGGCGAACCACCATTGTGCGGAATGCGATCCTGCAATGAATGGAGCTCGATTCTAGCCAAATAGGATAGTGGTATTGTTTAGATGGGGGTGAGACTCAACATTAAATGGGATCTCATTCTTGTTGTTGACGGGAGCACAATCCTAAAAGACATGGGAGCGCGATCCCATGTTACATGTAACGCGTTCCTTTCAAATAGGGATCTTGATCCCAATGTATCAAGATCTTGCTGCCTATTCAAACAGGATCTTGCTCCCTAATCAAACGGGATCTCGTTTCGTAAATACATGGAACACCTTCCCGTTAAATAGGGATCTCGATCCCAATGTATCGGGATCTCGTTCCCTATTCAAACAGGATCTCGATCCGTAACTTCTACCCTTACCGGAATTCGTTCCCCGAGCTCCAGAGCTTTGGGCAGCCATCGATTCGATGCTCCCGCTCCCGATAACTATGGATTTATTTTTGCTACAAGGAGGTTACAATTGCTACTGGTCAATAAATGACAAATTTAATTTGATGGCCTGAGGTACGTTACAAAGTTCCAGAATTTTTATTTTTATTTTAAATTTGAGTCTAATCAATGATGGACAAGAGTGAGTAGGACCGCCTTGCATTAAAAGTAAATGTTCTCTTTATAAACTTTTATGACTAGTTTAATTTAATAAATTCAATGCAGAAAAAACCTCGAAAAGGTGTAAATTTTAATTAATTGGTTTTTTTTTGTTTTGCCTGTTAATGCAAAATGACTTTTGTTTCCTTCGCTTTACTTGTCGGATTTTGGTAAAATTTTCAATCTATGTTGTTTTCTGCTTAATTGGCTGATTGGAGAGAAATGATATTTGCTCTCTTACATGATATCCATCAGTTTCCTTAGTTAGCTTTGTTCAATGTATACCTTGGACGACTTATCTTATACAAAATGGAGTAATTTTTTAAAAATTAATGCTCAAATAACATGTTCTCCAAAGGTCAGCCAGTTGCTATTTATTATCTAACCAGAATATATCACCGCTAAATCCTGTTGGAAGATATAGTTTTAGTGTTGAAAACTCTTACGATGACATGAAAATATGCTTCTACTTTTACTTATAAAATTTAAAACTCTAAAAGTGATATGGCTCGAGTAGACTGAACGCTTGAAAATCAACGGTCTAGGTAATGGATCACAAGATGTGCCATGTTTAAGACTTGAAATCCTTTCTTTTATACTCATACATTTCGAGATTGAAATTATCAGTTTTGGAGGGTTTCTCCAACTAATTTTTTTGAGATTTTTGAGGTGCCTCACTTTTGTTATATAAGGTTACGCCTTATATGAACCTTTCCCATAAATTATTAATCATCCTTTGCATTCAGGCGATAGTACATATTTTCGCCCCCTCCCCGCTTAACCCCCTCTCTCATATTTTGCTATTCTCTCTCTGTCTTTCTCTGCAAACCTCTCTTTTCTCTCTATAAACCACATCTCCGTACTCTTGCTACTCTCTTCTCTAGATGATGTACTAACCATAACTACGGCCATTAACGGGCCTAGGCCAGGCCCCGTTTCAGGCCATATGTTAAGGGTTGCAGAGCTAGGCACGGATCAGGTTTGCTAGGCCCAAAATAAGTTTGGGGAGGCCTAGTAACTCGGCCAAGTACCGCAAACATGGCTTGGATGTAACTGTTTCTTTGTAGTGATTTCACATAATATGACATGAAAAGGGGTTCCTACTTACAAATGTAGATATAAATTCACATAGAATTATCCAATAATTATTTTTCTTGAAAATTGGGAAAAAAAATTAGTTATTACATAATTGCCTCATAGCCATGGTCTGCTAATTAGGCATTATTACAGGATAGATTGCCAAAAAAAGAGGCCTCATTCTCAACTGATACAAAATGATTCCTTATTCAAAATCAAATGAAAACGACCAACTTCAATGAGTTCCTCAAATTTCTAGCACAAGGCTCCTAGAGTAGGGAGATGGATTTCTCACAATAGTACATTGAGAAGTTTATAATGAAAGAAACAGGCATATGGCTTGGCTATTTGGGATCTGGAGCTGGAGGTTTAATTTCAATGGAGTCTAGAGAAGATAGACAACTATAGGACTTCTCACAATGTGAACACCATCACTCCAAACTAGTGAAGTTGAAACTTGGAATGGCCATGACAATGATCCTTCAACTTTCACAATGAATGTTTTCTTCTCGCCAATCTTTTCAAATGATAATTGTGTTGGTTCAACAGAGACCTCAAGTGCTGTCGTGGAATTCACAGACACATAATACACTGATGTTGGCACACCGACATTTGTAACTGTTCTTGAGAAATTGGCAAAGAACGGTGTCCCACTACTGACATGGAGTGCAAAGGAAGGATAGTTTAGATCCAAAACGGTACCATTAGCGACATTTGAGCAACTACTATTATCTCCAGTCACAAGCCTAAGTTTCTCTGTATCATAACCCAGATTACACATCATTGTAATGTAATCCACTTCATTTGCATCGTATACTAGGCCAGGATCAACTGCTTTCATTGGATTAATATGGCCTGAACCAGAGGAGAGCACGTCATCATTGCCATAACCCAAGGGACCCACTGAAGTAGCTGCAAGAAATTTTTATGCAAATTCATGCAAAATAAGCATTTGCCATCATAATGGACCAAAAAGCTGCATCTTCATTAATTCCATCAAAATGCCAAATTTTATGATTCTTGGGCAAGACAAATTCTTAGTACCGATGAGGCGGTGATCTCCAAGCATTGAACCAAACATACTATAGTAAAAGAGGAAGGATATAAAGACAGTTAAGGGCGCCATTACCTGTGGTCATGAGAGCAGACTTGATGGCAGCAGGAGACCATGTTGGGTGGAAAGATTTGACATAGGCAGCTGCACCACTTGCATGAGGACACGACATGGAGGTACCGGAGATTATGTTGTAGTCCACTGACCTTTTGTCCCCTTCAAATAGTGACATGGGAGCAACAGGTGACCATGCAGCTAAAATGTCAGCCCCTGGAGCGCTTATGTCAGGCTGCACCACAAAATATAACCATATGATTAGTGACCATTGAAAGAAATTGGCAAGGAAACCAAGAGAAAACATTCTACTGTTAACATATTTCAGAAGAATGATGAAAACTCATTTGAAGTCTTTTCAAGGTGTATGGATGTTCACCGAGGTTGATAAGTAATTCATGTCGCAAGTTTTTACCAAGTAGAACTAGAAAAGGATAATAAGTTGTATACCTTGAGAATCTCTGGTGTAATAGGGTTTGGTCCTCTCGAAGAGAAGGACACCACTTCGGGAGCATTCAGGTCCTTTACGGCCTCACTGCTCAATATGTTGGCTCTTGGCTTGCTGTTAAAACACCAGTATAATATAGCACTCAACATGACATAGAAATAGAGAAAATATAAATGATGGTAAAGGAAGAAAGACCAAAGCTCTAAGATGTTTCAACTGGAACTTTAGTAGGCTGGATCAAATCTTACTGCATATCATTATTTACCAAGCAAAATAACTAAATTTATTGGGAAAGGAAGTAAAAATAAGATTTTCTTAACCTGGACGAGTTCATGAATGAGAGAACCTTCCCACCTTCTATCATGTCCAGAAGGGTTGCTGGCAATGGATAAGAAAAGGCGAAATCGTCAAATGCAACAAATCTCATGATCATACCCAAAGCATTAGCATCTAATGCTCCTTCCCCATTGTTTATCCCATCACAGAATACAATCTTTCCCTTCACTAATGTGCTGTCCAAAGAATTCGGTCTACAGAACCTGAATAAGAATACCAATAAACAAGAATTGAATATTCACCATTTGATTGTATGCTTAGATATTTGCTTTTTTGCTTATGTGATCTTAAGGATGTGTTAAGCATTCACAACTCACCCTCCGTGGGCAAACATTTGTTGTGAGCTAGGGAATTGGCTTGGGTCTTGGCCAAGCCAACGGTTTTGCAGCAGCAAAGCCCAAGACCAACATGGGCTTGCTGGCCGAAGCCGAATGGCATCCCACACAGCTAAGCATTATGGGTTGGGTTTTGCCCTGTTTGCAGCATGGTTAAATACATTTGAAAAGAAGATCCATCGTGGGAATGGAATATGGATTGTAGGGTGACAACCTTGAGAACCACAAAACATGTTCTTAACAATTGATAAATAAGGGACTATTGATCTAAGTATGTTCTTAACAAGTGATAAATTGTAGATTAGTAAATAGCACGGCCCTAAACTTGATTATGAAATAGCCTTAGTTTTATAAGTGATCCTTAGTCATAATTGGTTATAATCGTATCAAACTAGTTCTTCTTATTTAGAATGGTTAGAAATTTTTTTCTTGTAATGACAGGGATGCTACATCAATGTTTTGAAAGCAAAGAAGGTTTGAGCAGTGAACAGTGGCATGCCAAGCTGGCCCACTATAGCCCTTTTAGTATTCTCAGATAAAATAATAAGGATTGTATATTATGAGACCACTTATCTTTGTTACATGGAGTTCATAATTACTATTAGTCATTATATGTCAAATTGGATGACTTGAATGTAGCAAGAAGTTTGAAATTTTTTTTTATTAAACTTTGCGTCTAGTCAATAATGCACTCATAACTACTGGATTTAAGATCACGTACATCAATGATTGTGACCTCTTTGTACTAAAAATAAATTGTCTCTTTGAATACTTTTCAAAAATAATATTGTACCTCAAATTTCAGGTCTAGACAAAATCTCCACAATATTATCTCCATTGATTAAAAAGAAATATTCAGATGTCCCAAGGAATTATTCCTGAAAATTTTCTCAATCATTCTGAGAGAAAAATAATAGCATCTAACATGAACCACAATTTTGAAGAGCCCTTTATGCATTGGTTTGTTTCACATTCAAAAATAATTTGAAGTTATGTTTTTTTTTTTTCCTGAAAATAAATCACTTATTAGTGATGCTTTAGTGGATCCTGAAATTGCAAATCTAAAAAAATTCTCATATGCCTTCTTTAGTTAGTCCTTGGGAGTAAATACACAATTTGCTACATGAACTCCTTTACTTCATATCTTTTGCTTACGATGAATCATCGGAAGTGAAGCCTGCTGCAATATTTGGGGCATCCCCTCCGTATATAAGAGGGATGGAATCACCATCAAGCTTGAAAGTGTTTATGGAACTCCCCTGCACAACCAATGCTTTACTCTATTAGAAACTTTGTGAACACAAAGTATAAGGCAGCTTCTTGAATCTATCCTCAAAACTTCTTTTTTTAGTATGGTCTTAAAAATAGGGATCGGACCTTGGATTGTTAGGTCTCGAAGAGTAACTAGGACCAATTTAGCCACAGGGCGGATTCGGGGTCAACATGTCTGGCCTTAGCAATTTTCAAGTCAACCATATGATATAGTAGAAAATAAAATAAAATAAAATTTTAACATGGGGGTATAGATGATTTTGGGATTTTCTTCACCATGGGATTACCCATCCACCGATTACAACTTGAGTCGGGTCAATGAGTTTTGAAACCCCACATGGTCCTCCACTTACTGAGTTACTGTTTGTTTCTTTCTTTATTTTGTTTGGGGAATGTAGCCTTGCAAATTGTCCACACAATAGAAAATAAAGCCAGTACTCGAGTCATGGAAGCTGGCCTATGAGTTCTAGTGTGTCCAATGGATGTAAGCATTAATCTAGGACCCAGTGTCGGCCTATGGCCGAGGCTGAGTTGTGACAAGTTTCAAGGGCAACTCGCGAGGCACCAAAAAATATGTATAATGCATTAAAAATGTTAAAAAATATTTAGAAATCTGTTTTTAGATGATTTTCACGGTGTTAAGATGATATGGGAACTTTTCTTATCACAAGAGCCATTTTCTTTTTATTTTTTGAAATATTTGTGGTATAATTCAAATTTTTAAATGTCTTTTTTTATATGGGATTGTATACAATGAGGTCATTTACCTTTTGGTACAAAGATGTCACAATTAATTATAGTGATCCGATAAAAAATTTGATAGCTTGTGTTTATCACAAGGCTCCAGAAAATTTCTTTTGAACTTGTGCTTGGTCAATGAAATAAATACAACCACCCAATTTCACATCCAATAGTCAAGATCAATGGTGACCACCTTATGCCAAAAGTAAATCATCTCATTGTAAACTTTTTTTTTATTTTTTATATACCTTTTTTTCATCTTATGTAGTCTTTTAATATTTTCTATTATTTCTTTTAACTTTTCTCTGATTTTTAACCATTTTTAACGAATTTTCCCTCTTTTCTATTTTTTAACCTTTTTAGATGGTGTACATTACTCAAGCAAGTCCACTCAAACTCGCCGAGTTCACTCATCTCGGGCTGATAGTGAGGCCCCGGCGGGAGGCAATTCGAAAAACATCAAATACAAGTGGCCATTTTAGTAACAGGAAAGGTACAGTGTTATCATGTGTATGTGTGAGAGAGAAAGGGAGGAGCCTCATACCACAATGGTTTCATTATCTTCTAGCACCACCTTGCTTATAATCTTCCTATCCATGGTGGTCGCAGCCACGGTCAAAGTCCATGGAGCCACATTACTCACTGATCTTGGAAAGGGCCCACTATTGCCAGCTGAATTCGACGTCAAAACCCCGCTCCTCATAGCATGAAAGGACCCTATGGCGATACTGTCTTCGAAATAATCAGACACTGTGAGTGATCCGACCGATAAGGAGATGACATCCACACCATCCGCTATGGCATCATCAAATGCTGCGAGGATATCAGCATCTGAGCAACCTTTACTCCAACATACTTTGTAGACAGCAATTCGAGCCGAGGGCACCGCGCCCCGGGCTGTGCCAGTAGCGAGGCCAAATAAACTGATATTCGCTACGGCACGGCCGGCGGATGTGGAGGCAGTGTGACTGCCATGGCCCTGGGTGTCACGAGGCGATGGGTCCTCAAATTCCGGGTCGATTTCTCCATCAGATTTGTAGAAACGAGCTCCGATGATTTTCCTACATATACAAAATGATGGATAGATATTGAAGTGAGGAGAGAGACATTTGATTTTATTTTTTGATTTTATTTTTATTTTTACATTATCATTGTTGTTGTTATAAGTGGCTTTTAAAATAGGCAGGACCCCACATCCTCGTCATCATGTTTGTGGTTCTATTCTCACTGATACTACCCACTAACACCTTAAAAAATAATAATAATAATAATGCTTAAAGAAAAACGAGTAGCCTATTTTCCCTATTGAATTACCCAAAAAAAATAATAATAATGTTTTCATACATTATTATCATGTTTGAGTTATGAAAGTAATATATATCCATCCTAATAAAGGGACAATTGAATATATCTCCCCTCTTAAACTTTTTTCTTGCTATTCCCCTTCTCCATCATCTTCCTTTAGTAACCCAATGTTTCCACCCCTTTCTCTCTCAGAACAGACTACACATTCTCCTTTCTGTAACTTGTAATGTCATGATTGTTTGTCTCAGACTTGAAATATCTTGTTTCTTAAAAAGAAAATAATCTAAATGGCATGCTGCTACTGGTGTTTTAGAGCCATGTTGGAATGTGTCAAGTAATGTGATGTATGTTTGGTGATGTATATAGTTAAAGAGTATGTACATGATGCTCTTTTGGGAGCATAATTTACTTCTACTCCCTCAGATAGAAGACTTACTCCGGAGGACTTTTTCAATTTGAAATATTGGGAACCACCTAAGATCACTAGATGACTATTTTAAAAAATAATAATTAAAATACGAGTTTTGTAATATCTAGTACTCAAGATTTAAAAGTTGGATGGTCTTTGTTCAAGCTAGAGACAATTTTTTTCCAAGTGCATATTATTAAGGTTAACCTATGACTTGAAGAAGTTACATCCACAAAATTTGGGGACCTAAAGTTCATTATAGGTGGGGTTTTACTGGAGGGAATTAATTGGTAGCATACACCCATGGAAGTATAATATCTTTTGGCATGATTAGAACTTTTAAGTTGCATTACACTTGTGTAGGTGCTAATATCATTTCTTTTTTTGGGTAGTTTAGCCGAAGGAATCGAACTTGAAATATAGGGGTACTAATTGGCAGTTGCAAACCACTTAAGCCCAAGCTTGATTCATAAACTAATATCATATTTATGTCGGAAAGAACTTTGATTTTGATTAAAGGTATTTTCAGACATTTGAATATTAGCCGAGGAGCATTTTGGGTATGTTAAGAGCAATTTTGAAATAATGTACTAAAATTATTCGAAGGCAACAACCTCAACAATGAGTGGGAGGTTCCAAGAATGAAGAGGAGTCCGAAGCATGCAATTTATGCAAATTTCAATTTGGAATATGTGTGTTTTAAAGTTTATACATGTAAATTTGCCCCAATGTAAAGGGTACCTTAAGAGAGAGAAAATTGTCCTTAAAAGCAATAATTTTTAGAGTTTTTTTAATTTGATGAGAAAACGAAGCGAATTGGGGCTTCGGTCAATTCGAAAAAAGATTTAGACTTTTTTAATTTAATATAAATAAATTAAATATTTATATATAATAATAATAATAATAATAATAAATTTTAAAAAATAAAAAAATATTTTTATATAGATATCTGTTAGGGCGGAAGCTTTAGCCGAATCCGCATGAAGCGAGGTGGCAGCACCAAATAGCGCATGGTTGTGTTTAGTGCTTTTTTCACGTTTTCTTTTAAAGAGAGAGAGAGAGGGAGGTACTTGTTGCAAGTGAAATTTGCAGAAGATTGGCAAATGCCCTTCCACTTTATTGGAGGCGGGCCAAACCCTTCATCACTGAAGCTCTTTGATTCAGGCCAGATGCCTGTATCAATCACCCCTATTACGACATTGTTTTCAATCGACAGGTTTCTGTTAGCGGAATCAGAAAAGCCCATGAAATCCCATGATCTTGTAGTGTGGAGCTGCTTGTTCTTGCTAGGAAAAACGGATACCACGCCATCCAAACCTGTAAAAAGGTACTGTTTTTTCATGTTTTCAAGATAGAGAAACAAAATGTGTTTTTAGGGGAGAGAAAAACAAAATCAGAGATAGACACCCAAACTGGTGGGCCAAACCAGTTGTCCACCGGTTCTTTACTGGCTCGCAGATTCTCCCGTGTTTTTTGGATAGGAAAATGACAAATAATATAAAAAACCGCTAAGAAACTGTGGGAACCGGGGCTAAATCTAGGACCCACAATGGTGTTCATGGGTTGGCAACGGTTCCTAGCCATTAAAATTTCACAAAGAAAAACATATGCACAAATTCTCCATTATCTACAGTATCAGACATGTGTGTGACGTCCATTGCAACTTGTGTGAAAAATATAAATGCTCCGATCTAAGCTGCATCTACTTTTCGTAACTAGGAAAGAAAGATTACTCACCTGACAACTTCTCACTCTCATGTTGGGTTAGCCTGGCTGCAAATCCATTGAAACTTCTTCCATAGCTATAAACTAATGATTTTGTTGCTGAGCTGATCAATTCATAACATGGAAGGTTAGTGAAGTGATGCGACAAGAACTTAAGGAAAGTGGCTTATTATTTATTTGTTTATTATTATTATTATCATAATAAGCATAATGAGTAATAGGGAAAAAAAAGAGTATATAATGAGACCATTTATCTTTGGTACAAAGTGGTCACAATTGATCTTGACTATTGGATGTGAAATTAGATTGCTGCATTTATTCTATTGATCAAGCTCAAACTTTAAAAGAAATTTTTTCGAACTTTGTGGAACACCCAAGCTATCAAATTTCACATCGAATCGTTGTAAGTAATTGTGACCACCTTGTATAAAAAATAAATGGTCTCGTTGTATGCAATCCTGTAAAAAAACAATTCATGAAAAGTTTTGATAAAGTTTTATATTGATTGTCTACTTAACAAAACTCACCTTCTTCTACGTGGGCTTGAGACGAGTTAAAAAAAAAGTCCAAAGCTTTCACCTTTAGAAAATATATCGTTACGAATCCTAATCCTTTGCATCATGATCTGTCTCTTCATACCAGTGCCAATACAAACATAAAAGGACGTGGGTGGTGCTCAGTGTACTTTTGTTATTTACCCGAATGCAAAATTTTTGTTTTTGTAGTTTTGATAAATAAAACGTAAGGGGGGAAGAGAGAGAAAGGCCCTGATTGTCATTTGAAAGAGTTTACAACACTTAATGAGGATCAAAATAGAAAAAGCTGGTAGGTACATTTGGAGAGGATGGAATGAAATATTGACAATCTTTTTAATATCGCTTCAGATGGATAAAAGGTGGTTACCGTAAAACGAATTTAATTTTCAGGGTACAATAATAATAATAATAATAATAATATAATA